CCGGGAATGGGAGATATTGGGTGCATTGGGCGAGTTTGATTTGCTTCTTGGCGAATCTGTTGAGGCTGCGGCCTTGTTTTCTGTAGTTGCGCAACCTACACTAGTGACACGAGTGTTAGAGGCGCAGAGAGTTGACCTTGAGGTAGAATCCCTCCGAGAGAAGATCTCCAATGGGAAGGTTGAGAAGGGTTTGACGGTGTATCCCGACCTGAGTGTGAGATACAGAGACCGTTTATTTGTACCGGAGTCTTGCCGAGAGGAAGTACTCCGAGAGTTCCATCATTCGCGCCTTGCGGTGCATCCGGGAGGTACTAAGATGTATCGGGATTTGGGTCGCCAGTTTTGGTGGCGAGGTATGAAGAGGGATGTGGCAGCTTTCGTGTCAAAGTGCCTTACTTGTCAGCAAGTGAAGGCCGAACATCAGAGGCCAGCGGGTTTGTTGCAACCCTTGCCTATTACCGAGTGGAAGTGGGAGCACGTCACTATGGACTTCGTTGTAGGTCTTCCGAGGACTCAGCGGGGTAGTGATGCTATCTGGGTGGTTGTTGACCGGTTGACTAAGTCGGCGCACTTTATTCCCATGCGCGTGAGAGATTCGGTAGATCATCTTGCCGACTTGTATATTCGGGACATAGTGAGGTTACACGGGGTCCCAGTGACGATCGTCTCAGATAGAGATCCTCGTTTCACTGCTAGGTTGTGGCAGAGTTTGCAGAGTGCCTTGGGTACTAAGTTGACCTTTAGTACGGCTTATCATCCTCAGACTGACGGGCAGTCCATGCGTACTATTCAGATCCTTGAGGATATGTTTCGAGGTTGTGTCCTTGACTTTAGTGGGACGTGGGAGAGGCACTTACCATTAGTGGAGTTTGCCTACAACAACAGTTTCCAGTCTAGTATCGGTACGGCACCGTTTGAGGCCTTGTATGGCCGACCGTGTAGGTCTCCAGTTTGTTGGGCCGAGGTGGGTGATGCACCTTTGTTGGGTCCGGAGTTGGTTAGGGAGACGACGGAGAAAGTTGAACTTATCCGTAGGAGGCTTGTTACAGCCCAGAGTCGTCAGAAATCTTATGCTGACCGTAGGAGGAGGCCTTTGGCGTTTGAGATAGGTGATCATGTCCTTTTGAAGATATCACCTAGGCGGGGGTTGATAAGGTTTGGGAAGAGTGGGAAGTTATCCCCTCGATTTATTGGGCCTTTTGAGATCCTTGAGAGGATTGGCGAGGTTGCTTATCGTTTAGCGTTACCACCACAGTTGTCCGGAGTTCACGACGTGTTTCATGTGAGTATGCTTCGAAAATATGAGCCGGATCCATCCCATGTGTTAGATTGGACCGACTTGGAGGTAGATGAGGATGCCTCGTATGAGGAGAGACCGGTTCGGGTCTTGGATAGGCGGGATCAAGTCCTGCGTGGCAAGACCATCCCTTTGGTAAAGGTTTTGTGGAAACATCACGGAGTAGAGGAAGCCACTTGGGAACGTGAGTTGGGAGTCCGCGAGAAATATCCGGACTTGTTTATTGATGAGTAATCTTGTATTTAGATTTTGTAATATTGCTGGACTTAAGAGCTTTATATATGTCTTAAGTTGTAAAACATTGGTAATGTTTTGGTTTAATGGAAGTATGTTGTAGAACTTACCCTGATATGGGAGTTGATTATGATATTGCATATGTTGGCTATATTGTAGAATTGGAGTTGTATCATGTATACTGATTATGATATGAACTGTGAACCATATATGTTGAAAATGGTTGGGAATGGAAGAAAATTGCACGTTGATAATGCACTTGTAATATGTGTTGTGAAATGCCTCTTAAAAAGAGATGGAATTGACCGGAAATGGGCCAGAATGTTTAATATTATGTCGTAATATTGTTGGACATAGAGAAAACTTTTTTTTTGAAACTGTGTTTAATTTCGGGGACGAAATTCTTTAAGGGGGGGAGGTTATAGCGATCCCGGTTTCCCCTTTTCTTTAACTGTTGTATCCGAACTTAGGTTCCGTGGAGTTGGTTGTCGTGTATATCTTGTTTACATCCTTTACTCCTTGCATTTGAGTCTTGGGTTGTGTTGGGCAAGTTTGATACAGGTTGGTTGGACTTAGAAACCAAGAGTAATTGCCCAGATTTTGGCCTTCACGCTCGAGCGGCGATTTTGACGCTCGAGCGGGCCCTTCGTTGTTGTCTGTCCGCTCGAGCGGGGTTTTCGACGCTCGAGCGTAGTTTTCCGTCTTCCAGTATCTCCTCTGCAGTGTTGGGCGCTCTAGCGGGAGTTTTGACGCTCGAGCGGGATGTTGTGTGTGACGCTCGAGCGGAGAGGGTTGACGCTCGAGCGGAGACCTGGTTCTGTAAAAGTTCTGGAGGTGTGTATCCGCCGCTCGAGCGGGATTGTTGACGCTCGAGCGGGGGTTTTAGCGCTCGAGCGGGGCGACTTTTATATAAATCCGAGATCCGACTTTTGGATCACTTTTTCAACTCATTTTCTCTCTCTTACTTTTCAAAACCTCCATTTGAGAGCTCCTCTCACTAGAACCTCAACTTCTCTCTAGGTATTGATCTAGCTAGGGAGTATTCCTCACCTTTGGTCTTTACAAAAGTTGGGTTGATCGTCGAGGGCTTTACATTGATCCGAAAATTTCGAGTTTTGGAGCACGTTGAGTTTCGTCACCTTCTTCCCTTAAGCTACGAATTTGAGGTAGGGATAACCTACTCCTTACTATGGGTTTTGTCTTTAAATTTTAGTAGTTTGAGATGTTGGAGTTGGTTTGGTAATTTTGTGAAAGTTTGGGACTTTTGTGCAAATTTACAAAGTTGGGTTTTAACTATATAAAAGCCTAGATGCATGTTTGGCATGGAAAAGTGGAATTAATGTTAAAACATTAATGAAAATGGAACCTAAGGGTTGTAATGTTAATTATGGAAAATGCCCTAATTACATTGGTTAATTAATTTGTAAAATTAATTGTGAGAAATGAGGAATTGAAGTGGAAATATTGAGATTGGGATGTGTAGGATTAAAGGGTGTAGTTGGATTTTATATCACTCACCTAGTTGGAAATGTTGATTTTATATCCATTTATTGCATTTATATTTTCTGTATAGAAATAACCACACTCTGCTTTCTGCATCTTCTCTGTATTCTATATTATCTTTTCATTGCACACATATTATACTTTCTACATTGCCTGTGTTTATCTGTTGTACACTCAATGTCGCCCTTTTGCTTTTTGCAGCTATGGGTATATGCATATTTTACGACCCTCGCCCCAGAGTCGGAGGTGGAGATGCCTCCTGTCGTGCCATACTCTCACCGGTATGACGGGAGATGCATGAGGAGGACCAAAGAGACCTTCTCATTCTTCTGCCGGTATTTTGACACGATGACCGCAACGGAGATAACTCCAAACTCATAGTTATTGCTACTTTACTTCAGCTTTGATTCATATTGCATATCTAATGGCAACTAACAATCTGTGTATTTGCTGCCTGCAGATCTCATGGCAGCCCTAGGCGACAATGCCTGAGGTATTAGATACTAGTTTGCTGGTGCTCTGGGTGCTTCCTGTACCGGCTTTGTTTGGCCAGGTTCTGAGCCATGGTTATAAATTGAGAATTGAAAAGAATTGGAAAATGAATTGTAATATGGACTTGTATGTCATGAAACTGTAAAGTGTGTTAAGGGAAAGTATCAGTGTTGGCCATCTATCAACTGCTAATCTTTTAGTCATTGTTCATATTTGGTTTAGTGTATTTCTACTAGGCTGTGGCTCACCCTATATGGGAATATCATTTTCAGGTACAGGTAGCATGCCACCTCTAAGGACATAGCTTGGGAGGCTAGAGGCGGACACACTTTGTCGTTTTATTTTTGATATATTACATGTAAATTCAAGCCAAGGGCTTAATGTGTAAATGAGTTAGTACTCTTTTGTTGTAACCAAGTGTTAACTTGGAAAGCTGTAAGCCTTTAGGGCATTTGCTTTTGTCATTAACATGTAATACTTTTTGTAATGAAACTCTGATGAATAGAAGAATGTGGAACTTTTATATGTCAATGTATGTCTATATTGATGGGTTTAATATTTTTATTTTGAGGGCGTTACAATATTTGAAGAATAAGAATTTCACATTAGCTAGTAAAGAAACATTTGTAGCTCTAACATAGATAAGAGATGAAAATTCTGTATTTTCTCTAAATTCTATTTAATTTCAAGTACATTTTTACATAATTTACCACATCTTATTCAAGAATATTATACAATATGAAATATATGAGTCCATGACGAGTCCTCATTCTCATATCCAACTTTTGGATACATATCCCTCTTTTGGATACATATCCCTATATCCTTAGATTTAGATTTACAAAGGTCTAATACCTAGACAAACACACATACACCCCAAGTACTTGTAGCCGAGTCCATGATACATATCCCTATATCCTTAGATTTAGATTTACAAAGGTCTAATACTTAGACACACACACATACACCCCTAGTACTTGTAGCCGAGTCCATGTAACATAGGACAATCCCATAGAATAAGACTAGGATCGATATAAATAAGTGCTTCTGGAGTGATGTGTAACGTGGAAGTAGTGAAAAATGAAGGGGAAGTGTTATATGGCAAGCATGATACCACATTGCACATTCCTTTCTCCTTAGATTTAATTAGCCCCTCCAATTATGCCATAAGTTTAAACTTTACCTAGTCTAATATGTTCCTACTCATAGAACAGATAAGATTAAGTAACATTTTGGTTTCACAAACAATACCCCTTTGCACACTCATAGAAGCACTTATACACTAGTAGTTATTATAAGTTCCTAATGACCAATAAAAGTCCAAAATAAGCATCACTATATCAATTTCCTTCATATTCTTGTGAAATGATACATATAGTGGGAAGGATGCCAGCAAGTGACCCTGCAAATGCAACCATTAGTTTCAACTCTTCACAGATTTAAATATACACTGCAAGCAGAAAAAATCCAATACCGAAGAAAGACATTGCCCTCCAGAGATCAACTCTCTCAGTTCATTCTCAAGCTGAGACTCGGATGGAGCTTCCACCACACAATTTGCCTTTCCTTCAATCAAGAATGTGATTTCTCCTTTTGGTTGGCGAGTCAAGAATGCTCCTTTGGCTTCTTCCAAAGTTCCACACCAAAACTATAAAGGCATGATCTATATTAGTAAATCAAAAGAGAACAACACCCGCAGACATGCTGACATGACCAGCAGTGAAAATATGTTTATCCACTTACATACCATGATTGTCACAACATACTAACGTGTCTAAGTCATTAAAAGACTATCATTGTAGTATTATAGTCAAGTAAAAGATGGGACTAAATATTCTGAAGGGTGTCAATTGGGAGAAACCACTGACTTCATAAATGCATCCCAGATTTGCAGGGTATATAACCAGCAACATAGTGAATTTCTAGAAAAAACCATGTGCATCCAACAACAATTATCAAAGAGAAGAGAAACTATAGCAAATAACTTAAAATACAAACCCACCTCTTCATGTATTTTTGTCATCTCTCGAGCTATGGCACATTGTCTACAACACATCAAAACAACGGTCATGTAAATTTATAAACCAAAATTTATTTAGTTAGTCCCTTCCTCCCACCTCCCGCCCCCAGTGGGGTGCCCCCCCTAGGGAATCTATGACTACATATTTATACGGTTCTCGAGTGAGTTATGACTGCGACTGCATTATAGTGAAAACTTATTAGGATTGACTTTTATTCCTTCTTATTTTGATGTAATAAGTGATTTAACTTTAACACAAGGCAACACAAAGATGTCAAGAAGGTCAAGAAGAATGTGGCTTGAATTGATGAGGAACTAAGCAAGGGCCTATAAAACAATGGAGAATCTAGCTCTTGATAGAGCTTATAGACATAAATGGTGAATGGATTTGTGTGCACAACCCCAACAACATATACAAACTTCATTTAATTTGGTTGAATATCTAATTCTTTCATGCAAACATTTGTCCCAATACCAACAGTTTCCAACGTCATTTTTCCAACTGTACCTGGAATACTAGAGAACATTCATTAATCCAGGTATTTAAAAGATGAAAATACATCAAAGTAAATGAAGGACCAAAGCAAAGGGTCAACTAATAAGCTCACCAATCCTTATCAAGTGATATCTCTGAATAGATATAGTAAATGAATTTTTACATTGTTAATAGATATAGTTTGCTTGAAATAGTTCTCAAAATTAAATTCACAATACTTTAGCGTTGCTTGATCTAAGAAAATGATGATTACTTCTCAGCAATCCTTCATGTGTTGCACAGAGTTGTGATCTCTTAGAACTACAAGAACAAAACAAAATGCCTAAAGAACACATAGAACGTAACACTGTAATGCCAATGTTCCAAGAAAAAAGAAGCTTGCCCTCTGAAACAAACTGGACTGGACCTAGACATGTCCATCTCTTACTAGATTAAGAACAAGAAAGGGCAAGACCATGGCATATGCTTAACAAGCTGACATGATAAGTTTACACACATCCTCATTTTTTATGTGACTAATTTAGTAGTCATCCAAGACATAAATACCCAATGAAAACATTTTAAAATGAAACTTAAATCATATCAGAGATACTGTAACATAAATTTTTTATATTAAAAAGAATTTTCTAGTCCCTTTACTATTTTTCAAAGTGTATTCAAGTCAACAAAAAGATTTTAAAGAAAATGTATTTGACTGATAAATATTATCAGTATACATTTAATCAAAAGAACTGCTATTTGCTTGTTCTATGATACACTATATGTATCAAAGATATGATGAATATGTATTCTGCTATACTCTTTAAAACTTATATACACAGAAGAAAAAAAATGGTCTACGACTATCTCAAAAAATCATATGAAAGGAAACACAGATTAAGATTCTTTTTGTTTTTGTTGATGTGGCACAAACCCAAAGACATGAAAACTCCTATTATTATCCTAAGATATGATAAAGATCTTCCTCAAATATTTACCTACAGCCACCAAAAATAGAAGAAGCCTCTTCAATAAATTGATGAAGCTTATGAGGAAGAACATAGAATATCTGTGTTGCTACTTCCTTTGCAGATACAATCAACCTCTCCTTCCTTGATCCGGCTTGTTTGGGCAGAAATCCAACTACAAACAACCAACAATACATATGATATTAGCTACTAGCCTACCACTATCACCAAATTGTTGCCAACACTAAGGGTGTCGAATTCATGAGCAACTTACCAATTGTAAACTCGTTAGTAGCCAACCCTGAGGCAGAAAGTGCAGCAACAAAAGCAAAAGGACCAGGGATAGGAATAACAGGAATATTTTCATCCACACATAACTTAACCTACATAAAGTTTCCAAAATACGTTGTTTATGCCCATATCAATTAATTAACCCATGAAGCATCCAATTAAACTGTCATCTCGACTAAAATCTGAGTTCCTTTCAAACCTTTAGAGGACACATTACAAATTAAAGTTAGCAATATTTTTGAATTTACAATTTTAAGGTCATATTATTGCAAAAGGATTATTTAAAAAACCATCAGAATGAAAATTGTGATTGTTTCTGGGATCCTACATCTTAAGAGATTTGGTTTATTCAAAAAGAGCATTACATGCTTTCAATCTATGTGAACTAGAGAAAATACCAAATTGATTGTCAGTTATCACAATATAAAATTTAGTAAACCAAAATAAAAGAAGAAAATAAATTAAAGTGTATGAGTGTGTGAAAATTACAAACAGTTGTCTTCCCCTGCTATATTTGTGCGCTATATTAGCAGACTAGGGTGACCAAATCAGTCGAACAATCAAACATAACCAAAAAAAATAAAAAAAAATAACGTCAACAAAGAGTATAGGATTAATGTGTGCGGGAATGAAGTGTGGTAAAGTCCATGATAGCATATGGAGGTGTATATATATGCTCTAATACTGTGATGTAAACCTTACAAGCTAACAATAAGGATTCAAATGTAATGCAGTCGAGTAGAGATTGACATGACAGCCATCATTTTTCCAAAGGAGAACATTCAGTTCTTCTCATCACAAACAAACAGAAAATTATAACATGCTCACCAATTCCATACCAGGATCACTTATGCCTGGTGTTCCTGCATCACAGATTTGGGTCACAATTTCACTCTGTTGCAATCTCTTCAGAACTGCTTGTTCTCTTTGAGACTCATTGAATTTATGATAACTTAGCTGAAAATCTAAAGCTTACCATTAGAAAGAGAATAAGAATGCCAAATATCAGTTAGCGTTATCAAACAAAATCGATAAACCTATTCCCAGTTAAATTCCTTCCCAAATGTAGTTCAAGAACCTGGAATTCCCTTAGGGTTCTCTAATTTTAGATTCAAAAATTTTTTTTTTTTAATTTTTTATTTTATACAATCACAACTAAGTTAAAGGATCCTAATTTTTGTAACAGAACAACAATTGTTTTAGATTAACAAATTTAAAATATATATATATATATATATATATTGTGTTCAACCCATTAAAGAACCCAATTTCACAATACCCAATTGACATTGAACATATTTTTCCCAACTCAGATTCAAGAAGTTTATAAAAAAAAGAATAAATTCACAATCTAAAACAATACAGTCGCGTGCTTTCAAATTAATTCAAGAGCCTAGAGTTCCTTAAGGTTCTCTAATTTTACATAAATTTGGAGTTGCTCAATCAAAACCTTGATTTTTCAGTGAAAATCCCCAAATCAAAACCCTAGTTTGAATCTACAAACCTGATTGAATGGTGGAAGTGTTCTTCTTCGCGTGCGTTCATCTCTTCCGTCTCCTCTCGGCCGTCTTCTCTTTCCACCGTTACTTCTCTTTCTTCGTTCTTTTCTTCTAACTCAGAGCTCTATCTGTGTGTATTTTCTTTGTCCATCTTCTCCTTCTCACTCGTTGTTATGCCAGTTGGGGTTTGGATTTGGGATTTGGGGTCAGATAGAGAGAGAGAGTGAGGGTTTTGAAGAGTTTTTGCAGAGAGATGAAAAAAAGAGAGAGGAGGGTTTGGGATTTGGGGTCTGATGGAGAGAGATGGTAGGGGTTTGAAGATTTTTTGCAGAGACATGAGGGTTCAAACCCTCTCTTTTCTCCCTCTCTTCTAGTTTTATCTGATGACAGCTTTCTATCTTCCTTAACCCAATTAGAAGCCAAACAATTTGATAAAAAAAAAAATTTCTAATATATTTTTGGTCATTGGCGCCAGATGTATCTCATTTTGGCGCTTTTTTAATTTTTAGTCGAACCATTCACGGCATAAATTATGTGTCATAAAAAGTATAATATTTTAAACGGTTGGCATTTTGTACGTAGTAAAAAGTGTAATTTTTAACAATTGACTTTTTCTGTGTCGTGGAATGTTCAATATTTTTAACGATTGCTGTATGCATGTGGTTTATAGTTAATGTATTAACGGCATGCCATATGTATGTCATAGAAATATTTTATTATTTACGGCTAACATTTCAAGCAGTAAAAAAATCATCATTATGAGTATTCATGACCTACGCAATAAACATGTCGTGATTGGGAAATTATTTACGACATGCAAAAAAAGCAAGTTGTAAAAGTGAGAAACCACGGCTTACATTTATTATATGTCGTTGATGTGAAACCGTAAAAATCCAGTTTTGTTGTAGTGAAAAAAAAAAAGAACGGAATTTTAAGAGGGAAATGTCCACCGCCGATCAACAGATCACCCCAAAAAAATAAATAAAATAAAATATTCAAAACAATTTTTAGATTTTTTTTTAAAAAAAAAATTAAAAATAATTTTAGAGCAATAAAAAATCAAAATTATATTTTTAAAATTTTAAAAAGTATTTATGACCTAAAAGATTAAAAAAAAATTTGATTTGTTTTTTTTTGAAAAAATTAAAAATAATTTGAAAGCAATAAAAATCAAAATTATATTTTTAAAATTTTAAAAAGTATTTATGACCTAAAAGATAAAAATATACAAAAATAATAAGTTTTTTTTTTCACCCAATTTTTTTTTTTAGTTTTTTAGGAAAAAAAAATTGAAACTAGTTTCTGAAAATAAAAACAAACATATTGAAATTGATAATCTAACCATATTCTTAGAAAAAGTTTAAATTATCTCAATTTAGTCATCTCAACTTAAGAGTATCTTTGGGCTCAATGGGTTCATTTTGTGATCTAATTCAATGATCATTTTAATTTTACAATTCAGTAACTAAAATATTTAAAACTCTTTCAAAAATTATAATAAAAAACACAAATCACTAAATTACATCATTCCACTAGTAAAACTTTTACCGACGAATAGTGTGATCGTCGCTAAATGGTTAACTCTTTGCCCACGCCAACTTGTCGTCGCCAAAAGTAAGCACACTAGTAGCAACGCTCATTGTGTTGCTAAAACATAAGCCTCATAGGTAAAAGTTTTGAAATTTTGGTGCCAACCAAAAAATTTGGCGCTAAAATAATGTTATGCCTTTTAGCGACGGCAACAAATTGCGTCGGTAAAAGTATACTTTTACCAACGAAATTGATCACTGTGTCGCCAAAAATATACTTTTGGCGATGAAAAATTGACGTCGTCGCCAAAAGTAGTCGCCAAAAGTGCAATTTCTTGTAGTGTGCAAGGATGGCTAAAATGAGGTACAAATAAATGCTAAAAAGGGGAATATACTCACCCTTGAAGATCACCTTCGAAACTAGCAACTTCAGAGGCTAGAAACCAAGTTTCAGAGCTCATGTAAAACCCCCAAGAACCTCAGCCCAAAGATGGTGGTGTATCTCTATGTGTTGTAGTGCAAAAGTGCAAGAAAAATGGACTTTAGAGCATAAACAAACACAATATAGAGAGAGAGAATGAGAAATATATAGAGAGAGATACAACTCCTTCAAAACTTTCTTCAACCTCTGATAAAGAGGAAGGCCTCCTTCTTATATAGAAGAATGCAAGAATCAGCTTGTTAAACAAGCTTGGCAAGAGCTTCATCCCTCCATACACGTGTATGAAGGGGAAAAGAGTGAAACTAGCTGGCTCAAAAGATCTGGCATGAAACCTGCTAAGACAAGGGGTCTGCCGGCCATCGGTGGTGGCCGGCAGTGGCTTATTGATGGCCGGCAGGCTCTATCAATGCCCGGCAGGGCAAAGTTAATGGCCGGCAGGGCCAAAAGGTGGTCGGCTGTGCTTCCAAAAAAGCATGCAGAAAGGGCCAACACATGGTCAAAAAATGGGGCAGGAAGGATACAGGGTTTGGAAAGTTCAAACCTGTGACGTTCCACCATGGCAATCGAGTACTCGGCGAGCAATCGAACTAGTTATTGGGTGTACCTGCAAGCACAACCAAGTCTTGAGGACGGTCAAATATGGGGTGTCTACAAATTTCACTTTTCTTTTTGTTTTCAACATCCTCATGACCTTTCATGGTGATCTCATGAGTCATAAGAGAACCCATAAGCTCATCCAATCTAAGTGTGGAGAGATCTTTGGCTTCTATAATGACGGTGACCTTTGCTTCCCAATTCTTTGGCAAACACCTAAGAAATTTTCTCACCAACTCACTGTTAGTATAAATTTTGCCAACAGATTTCAAAGAGTTTACAATTTCAGTAAATCTAGTAAACATACTTGAAATAGATTTATCAGAGTTCATTTTAAACAATTCATAACTTTGAACAAGCATATCAATACGAGATTCCTTCACTTGGTTTGTACCTTCATACGTTACCTCTAGTTTGTCCCAAATTTCTTTTGCCGAATCACAACTTGAAATTCTATTATACTCCTTTGAGTCTAATCCATAGACAAGAGTGAGTTTGGCTTTAGCATTGGCTTGCAATAATTTGTGATCCCTCTCATCACATTCATCTTCTGTTTTAGGTATACTAATATTGTCTACTAATTTAGTAGGAATTTTTGGACCTTTGGTGACAATAATCCATATGGCATAATCAGTGGCTTGAAGGTATAGTGTCATCTTATCTTTCTAATGATTATAGTTTTTTCCGTCAAACAATGGTGGCCGTGTGGAAGTGGTTTGGAAATACCCTTCGGATCCCGGGAGACGCTAGGAGTCCTCAGATAGTCACCTGAAAGGAAACAAACACTCCGACGTGGGAGTCGGAATTAGCACTCCGACGTGGGAGTCGGAATTAGCACTCCG